ATCAAGAGTTGATATTTTCATTCTTTTTTTTTCTTAATTAAATCTGTTAAATAAATCTGTTAAATATTAAAATGGAAATACAGTAGACAAACGCAACCTGTTACAACTTCTAATAGTAAGTGCACAAGACAAACCTGCGGACAACACAGACAACATAGACATAAACAAGAAATAAACAACAAATTTTAATATCAAATCAAGTGAATGGATCCAGGGGCCAGCCGTAAGCATTCACTGCGCTGTAAAGTCCCAGGCTTCACTTAAAATGAAAACAAACAATCATTTATAAGAAAGATGTAACAGATATAATGCCACCAATTTCTAGAAAGGTGTAAATCTTACCCATTCAGAATAAAGTTTGGTTTCTACTCTCGGAATGACACACGATGCTTTTAGAATGGCATCGTACACATTCAATAAAACTATCTCAAAATCTTTAAATTGTGGTTCAAACTTGATTGATGCATCATCCAGAATCATTCGTAAGATGAAACCTGAATGTTCGAAGGCTCGAGTTGATGTCTGAAAACAGAAATTAATTAATCTAAATAAAAGATGCATTATGTAAAAGCTAAACCTGCCTATTGCATATCTTTCGTTTGGCCTCAAATGTTATATAAATTATTATTAATTAAACATTTATTCACATGCCAAGCCCACAATCTACTCTCTAGATCATCAGATGGCAGAGATTTAAACGGATTGAACATGATTGATATTTAATGACTTTGTCTTGATTAACAAGTACCGTTGCTACAATAAAAATAATCTATGCAACCTTTTATCAAAAATTCAAATAGGGATAACTTCCATCAAAGTAAAGTAATTTGAATGAAATTTTCAGTCTATCCATTTCTCATTATCTATTTTTGAACTTTTATAGCAAGAACAGCCAGCTCTTTGTCTAAATCTTACATAATGTATCTTTAATATAACTATTATAACAAGAACGATCAGGGCCCTTAAACTAAGTTACAACCGAAATTTTAAGAAATACTGCAACTTCATTGGATATATGCAAATTGATTTTACTGGTCAGCCAATCGAATTGCAGTATTTCTTAAAATTTCGATTGTATCTTAGTTTAAGTTTTCGTGAATAAGGGCCCAGGTCTTTAAGTAAATCTTACATAGAGAAAAAGGGGGGTCAATGTCCACTAGGGAATTTTGGGACTAACATATTCACTTTTATGACAATAATTCTCTTCGCTCTGGAACAAACAGGAGGACCCAGAGATAACCCATGGGGTTGGACCATCTTTAATAATAAAACAAGAACAAACGAGTCTAGAAGGAAACCAGAAGACCCAGAGAAAATCCATAATAAAACAAGAGTAGGCGAGTCTAACGTACCGGAGGCTGACATAATATAACAAGAATAAACAAGTCTAACATAGCGAAGGCTGACATAATAAAACAAGAGTAGGCGAGGTTAACGTACCGGAGGCTGACATAATAAATCTGTATAATCATCCAATGAATTCAACGTTAATTGTTGAAGATTCTCCGTCATCAAATTAGCCGCACAGTTAAAAAACGATTCCAATTTATCAAGATCCTGGTTGCTAGGCACCTGTTTACGTTTATTTCCTTGGTAAAATATTGTCTGAACTTCTGGAAACCATCTGAAAAACAAACAAGGGAAATTTTATTTCATAAATTTGTTCCTACAAACTGCGCGATGTACAAGCGACAAATTGATGAACACACGACAAATCGATGAACACAAATCAATGAACACACGACAGATCGATGAATACACGACAAATCGATGAACACACGACAGATCGATGAACACATGACAAATCGATGAACACATGACAAATCGATGAACACATGACAAATCGAAGATGTACAGATTCTGGTATCCTGTTCTCATTATTGAAATGGAATTGATCATTTGTTGGTCCCAAAATGACGTAGTTTGTGCAAGTGGACCTAAAACCCCATTTCTCTCTGTCAGTGGCATTCAAATCAGGTTTTTTTTTGTAATTTCAGTTGGTCACTCTATCTTACAACTTGTTCAAATGCTTTCCAGGTCTGTGACATCATCTGATCATTCAGTTTTTACAAAGATATGTTCAATTGAAATTTCATCGCTCTATATTGCTCGCTATGTAAAAAACTTGTTGCTATTTTGTTGTGGGTGAACAGAAATGATAGGCCTATTTTAAATCCGATTGAATTCAAGCTGGGAGGTTATCTAGTGTTGGTTTTTTAATTTTGTATTCTTAATTTTTTATTTTAGCAAAAAATGCAAATGATACATCATTTCTTTAAGAATTGCGTAAAATGTAAAATATGGGTTGATATATTTTTATAAATTCAGAGTAATGGTTTTAGAGAAATATACCAACTTTTTTAGGAGCCGTTCTTTAGCAGCATCAATATGTCTCATACACAGATTCAAAAAATTCTGTAATTCCATGGATTCTTCACTCTCATGAAATTCTTCAATATCAATAAAACGTAAAGCTCTGAAATATTCAAAATATGATTTTAAAACTTTCTATCAATCAATGATTATAAAACTCTCCATCAATCAATGATTATAAAACTTTAAATCAATCAATGATTAGACAACTTTAAATCAAAGATATGAAAACTTTAAATCAAAGATTAGAAAACTTTAAATCAAAGATTAGAAAACTTTCCATCAATCAATAAGAAAACTTTACATCAATCAAAGATTATAACATTAAAACAATCAACGATTATAAAATTTTGAATCAATCAAGGATCATCAAACTTTAAATAAATAAATTGACAAATAAGTTCTCTAGATGGTCAATTTCACTGCCAATCACCAAAGTCTAATCCAGGTATGATAGAAATAAGATTCCTGGTCAATCAACCATAAAGTTCTCAGCCATTTTCAAAATTCTAATTTTTACAGTTTAAAATCTAAAAATTACAGTTCAACTGAAACTTTGACCACCATTTTCTTTAACATGAATTTCGTTCAATGTGCATGATGGATATAATTCTAAATTCACACAAAGCCATAAACAGTAAACACACAATGGCATGGACTAAATCAAGCTGCGTGATAGACCCTCAGTGGAAGCAGTTGTTAACTGCTAGCTGCTAAAACTACAAAATGAAACGATGGACCGTATATAGATGGACAGTTGTTAACTGCTAGATGCTAAAACTACAACATGAAACCCAGGAAACTTCAACTTCAACTTCAACATGAAACCCGGGAAATGAAGTTTAAAACTCACCCAAATGAAACGTGCCATAGATCTAACACCTGCATCATACATGGGTTTGTTACAAATAAATTCTGTGATATCAAATCTTGTGATATTAAAAACGATTTATTCCATGGTTTCGGTACGACTGCCAACTCTTCTCTGTGTGGAGGTAATTTATCTTTTTTGTCTTCGTCTTTTTCACGGGGATCTTTCAATACGAAATCAACTATAAAATAAAGACAAATTGTTAAATCTTTACAATTACAAGAATAAAATATAATCACAGATTTCTTACAATAGGATACATAGAGAGAGAATTTAAATGGGGTTTAATATATCCAGTCAACACAAGTTAGGTCATTTTGGAACTAACATGATACAATTAATTTCAATAATACAAGCTTGGAGATAGAGGTTGGGAACCAATACAAGCTTGGAGATAGAGGTTGGGAACCAGTACAAGCTTGGAGATAGAGGTTGGGAACCAATACAAGCTTGGAGATAGAGGTTGGGAACCAGTACAAGCTTGGAGATAGAGGTTGGGAACCAGTACAAGCTTGGAGATAGAGGTTGGGAACCAGTACAAGCTTGGAGATAGAGGTTGGGAACCAGTACAAGCTTGAAGATAGAGGTTGGGAACCAGTACAAGCTTGAAGATAGAGGTTGGGAACCAGTACAAGCTTGAAGATAGAGGTTGGGAACCAGTACAAGCTTGGAGATAGAGGTTGGGAACCAGTACAAGCTTGGAGATAGAGGTTGGGAACCAGTACAAGCTTCGAGATAGAGGTTGGGAAGCAGTACAAGCTTCGAGATAGAGGTTGGGAACCAGTACAAGCTTCGAGATAGAGGTTGGGAACCAGTACAAGCTTGAAGATAGAGGTTGGGAACCAGTACAAGCTTCGAGATAGAGGTTGGGAAGCAGTACAAGCTTGAAGATAGAGGTTGGGAACCAGTACAAGCTTCGAGATAGAGGTTGGGAAGCAGTACAAGCTTGAAGATAGAGGTTGGGAACCAGTACAAGCTTCGAGATAGAGGTTGGGAAGCAGTACAAGCTTGAAGATAGAGGTTGGGAACCAGTACAAGCTTCGAGATAGAGGTTGGGAAGCAGTACAAGCTTGAAGATAGAGGTTGGGAACCAGTACACGCTTCGAGATAAAGGTCGGGAAGCTGTCAGATAGGGATGCAAATTTAACAACAGTGATTTTTTTTTCCTTTGATCAGGGAGGAGAATTTTGCCTGGAGGACATTTGTATTAGTCTTTATTAGTATTATTTGTATTAGTCCTGTGCACCCTGTGACTAACATGGCTCTAAGATTGTTTGTGAACACTGTTTTCGGTTTTTGATAAAATATTTTCAATTCTGATACGTTTCCTTTATGGATCGCAATAACCCAACTCACCGATGGCTTTTTTAACACTCAATAAATAATCTTCTCTCATCTCATCTGACAAATTCTCGATAGTTTCTTCATGGCCTCCCTTTAAACAAAACACAAACAAATCAAATTAGAAAGACCAGATTTCTGTCAAACACTTCAGTTTTTCCTTAAAACAAAATCTTTTATATTTTCTAAATTTGGAGCTTCTTGGTGTAAAATGGTAAGCCTATCATGAAATTACAAATGTAATAATATCAACTATTGATAGATCATATGGTAACTTACCCGCAGATTAAAAGGTACTAACTCCATGACATTTTCTAACCACGAGTCTTCCATAGGTGCCACATGTTCTGTATCAATTCCATTATGTATATAGTAGTAATATCGCTATAAATAATAAAATAATCATATATTATCATTATGTATATAGTAGTAATATCGCTATAAATAATAAAATAATCAATTATTATCATTATGTATATAGTAGTAATATATCGCTATAAATAATAAAATAATCAATTATTATCATTATGTATATATATTAGTAATATTGCTATAAAATAATAAAATAACCGTATATTTGTAATATCGCTATAAATAATAAAATAATCGTATATTTGTAATAATATCGCTATAACTTTTATTGAATACAATTACTGAATTGAGTGATCGTGCTTCCATTTTATTTCAGAATTTTTTTTTTCTTTAGTTAGATATGGTAGATCCATTATATTTTATATTTTTGATAATTTCTTTTCCACTTGACACAGACTAGGTCATTTTGGGACTAACATATATTGTTTAATTGTATTTAAACATACAATATACAAGATCTAAATCTGCCTATTTCAGGTCTTTCTTCAGGCCTGAAATGTTATCTAAATTATTAATTAGACATTAATTAACTTATCCAGACCATAATCAACTCTCGATGGCATCAATGGCATCGCTAGCCTGCGATATTTATTGGATTAGGTTCCGATTTCCTGTTCGACTTCAATTCATAATTTAATCAATAAATGGATAATTGAAGCTATATTTTTTATCCTACCGACTTTAGCAATGGTGATCGAGGCTAGGCCGAAAACTCAATCGCTAAAATCTTGGTTCATAGTGGATCAATTTGACTGAAATTTTCAGCAAATTCCCTTTACATTATCTAGTTTTTAACTATTATAGTGAGAACTGTCAGCTCTTTATCTGATCTCCCATAATGTATCTTTAAATAATTTGCTTACATGTAGGAATAAATTATCAGTGGGAGTACTCTGGAGGAACCGGAGACAACACACAACTTGGACAGGTGGCACTACTCCTTGTCACATACAAGTGGGGAATTAAAACCACGCCATTTGACTCAATGACAGACCTCATGATACAACCACTAGACCACCAAACCCCTCAGTTTTATTTCAAGAACACTCACCAGAATATCTTTTTCTGCTGTTGTTGGTGAACCTGATCGTGATAAGGGAGGTAATTCACCACTAATAGATGCAGCGCTACTCTTTGGTAAACTTTCTTCTTGCCTGAAAAATAATAAAAAGGAATGAGGTTTAATGTCTCCTTTATCACAACTGTTCTGTTATTTTGAGACTAAGATATACATTTTCCTGGGTTGCGTGTGCCATGAGTTGGAGCTCCTGTTTAAAAGTTAAAACGTATAGGCTGTCACATTTAACACGGGATGGAACAAAGAAATATTTGATACGGTATGTGTTGTGACTTTTCATGAAGGCAGAAGGTTTAAACCAGGAAATTAAATTTAATTTTAAGCCATTAGAATTTAAAAGCTTGTTCATGCTGATCAACATTTTCGGAATTTTTACTCCCTTACAAACTTCAACAATATTGTGAAAGTTGAATCTGTATGAAGAATATCGGTCCAAAAAATGGACCAATTCCATTCAGCAAATTGTGTTTGATCCCTGAGTTGACCGAGAAAGTATATCCGGATTTTCAGGCATGGTTCCCTCTTGTCAGTGGTGCAGTCCGACAAAATGCTCTTGAGCAACCAGTTTGTTGGATATTCAGAGCTTTATAAATAGATTATTATTATTGGAATGGGATGACAAACGGATTCCATGTAAACATCGGCGTGAACATAAAAAAATTCCTTGACAGTTGAAATTCAATATAAGAGTAAGCCGCTGTTCGGGGGTTAAACCCTGTTTCATTTCATTCAATTATACATCTACAACTTACATAATAATATCAACAAGCGCTTTACGGAATTGTTCTCGGTCCTTCTTTGGTTGTTTAAACTGGTCCACGCTGTTGCCTTGTCCATTTTTAGAATCAAGTGGTTTTAATTTATTGGCTTTTTTTCTTCTCGTTTCTCCTGAAAACAAAAACAGAAAATATTATTTAAGTCATTTCTTCATTGTTTTTTTGTTGTTTTTTTTTTAAAATGTAATGTTTTATAACTCTATATATATTATTAATACCAGTATCTGGAAATCAAAATTTCATTGCGAGGTGAAACGAAATGGGGGTTAACGCCCTACTGTTCTGCTCGGACTGGTCTAATGAAGACGAGCATACACCATACATTGTGCTATGAGGGAAATTTTTCCAGGGGCTCTTATATGCATGCCAATGTGTACCCGGGACCTCAGTTTTTCATCCCATCCAAACGGCCATACATTGTCCATTGCCAGGCCCTCTGTCCTGAATATCAATAATTTTCAACAGGCTCTTATTAGTCTTAATTCTAAATTCAGATGTTGATTAGAAATATGTCCAAATCTTTAATTTCTTAGAGAAAACTAAAGTGAAAGATGCTCTAATATTTAAATTTATACTCACTGGCTGTTAATTCTCCTACTAAATCTATTGTATCTCTTTGATCATCATCTTCAAGTATCTTCCCTGATAGAATGAAGGCCGGGGAATTATTTTGCCAGGTTGGTTTACTTCGTTTAGCAGGTAAAACAGGTAAAAATCTGATTGGATCATCGGTCCCTTTACCTTTATTACCACCACTAGTGTTTGGCGTGGACTAGAAAAAACAAAAACATCTGGATTAAAAATTAAATTTAAACCAAAATCAAATCGTCCTATGGTCAGAGATCTTTTGTTTACACTTGTATTATAATAAGCAACATTAATTGTAATAACTGTGATGACTCTTAAATTAAAAATGAACTTTTTAATTAGGAAAGTTTCTGTGTTTATAATTCAGTTTTATTTAATGTGTGTCTATCATTTTTAAAAAATCTAAAGCACTGCAGAGTGGTAATCTTTATTGGAGTGCAGACGCTCTACAAATTCATTATATTATTATTAAACAAAACACCCACAGTTGGCAGACATCCAGATTAAGTGTCATTGATATCAAAGCCTCAACAAAGGTTAAATACTTGTTTTTTTGACTACTATTTAAGACAAATCATTGATATTAATTCAAGGGTGGGCCTCATACAAGCAAGCATGTCGTATCTAAAGGTTTATTTTATACTCAGATACCGTAGAGGACTTTAACATTGAATAACTTTAAATACATAAATAATTTTGATTTTTCTTTCTTTAGGGTAAATTACTTCTAATTATTCTCAATGAATTTGCTTTTAATTTTTAACGTGGTTCAGGGGTATCTTTATAGTTTTACGAGATATGAATTTGACAGCAGCTAGACCTACTCAATTAATTTGTCTTTTTAAATATTAATTAGTCAGCTTATAGTATGTTCTGTTTCATTTGCATAATTTTAATCAGTAGGCCTACACATTCCCCAATCATAATTAACAGATTTCAACTGAAGATTTGAGTCTTCCTTAAAAGTGTATTTATTATTTGATCCTGCCTTAAAAGATTGGGTGAAATATAATATTAAATTGAATCTTTAATAAAGCCCTTGAGTTGAGGACAGGCTTACAACATGCAGATTTAATCAGAGCTCCCAGGCAGGCATTCGTTATATATAATTAAATAAAAATAGTTTTTCTGTTTAATTAGATCTATTAATATTCAGCAATAGAGTATATCTATCTGAATTTTTGTTGACAATTAACATCAAGACTCGGCGCTGAGACTAGAGTTAACAATCAAGACAAACACTAAACTAAACAGGTTTGTTTACATAACAACAAAACTTCATCTTCAAATATCTAACTAATGTATATTTGATATCAAGTACCTGAATTTCTGCCATGCTTCCTGACTATTATCTAACTTGAATACCCTCCACACGGCTTCATCAAGCCCGGTATAATTTAATTAAGGCACAAAAACTTTTGCTGGCCTTCCACATCTACTTGCTTAACAATCAAACATGGCCGATAGTTGTCATGTTGCTAAGATACAACCGGAAAAGAAGATTATGTTTCACAAAATTGTGTGTAAGTGTTTTAAAGCTGTTTATCGGGTTTTGGGATTCTAGACAATTGTAATAAAACAAATTCACTAATCAAAAATCTATTATTATGAATAATCTTAAAAATCTGATATATGTTTACCGCTTATAGTGTCTATTTCGTTTCGTTTCTAAAAAAAACAAAAGGGAAGTTGCTGAATTTTACTGAAACACGTGGTTCTGTTTACATTTTGATTTTTATGTTTTGGAAGTCTTGTCAATTTTAGATTCCGGTGTTAAACGATATGTTTTTGCTATTATGGCTAGCAGCAAGGTTGATAAAGTACTGAAATTGGTAGTTGTCGGTTGCGGAATTGGCGCTTTAAGTGGAGCTTTTTATTACACAGAGAAAGTTCAAGGTTGTTAAATAATCACTGAATGTCAGTTTTCTTCACACTAAATACTAATGAATGACACAGTAATTTCAGTACAATAGGCCTACGTGGGCTCCACCTAGTTCAATCGATCTAGACCTAGTTCAGCTCCGAACATAGGTCTCCCTACGCTCGCCTCTTATGATTTTAATAGTCTTACGACTCGTTGAAAGTATTTAATTTAAGATTCCTGCCTTACCTGTCAATTTTACTTGAACTATTTTTTAGGGTTAGCATGATTTACCCAAAGCCACCATTATTATTTCAAATTATATGACAATAATTATGCCAAATTGCCATTTTTGGTTTAAAATCATAACGTGTATATGTCAAAATGCCTGTCAAAGTCAAAGTGTAATTTCCAAGTAAGTTTGGATGTTTTAACCAAATAAATCCACCATTATTTTAACTCATACATCACAATAATCTATATTAAAAAGTATATTTGATAAATGATACACTGTGGGTATACCAATTTGTCATTTTTAACTGATCCCGGTGTTGGCCAAGAAATTTCATCATGATTTTCCAGCGTGGTTTCCCCTTGTCATTGGTGAAGGTCACGTCAGAGGGTCTGGCAAGGGACAACATATAGTCGTTTAGTCCAGTGTATACATTGAAAGACAGGGAAAAGAACCTTGACAGTTGGAATTTGAAATAAAGAGTTCAGAGTTCAGACCAAAATTGCCCTCATATATAGCAGACTTTATGGGGTATGCAAGTCTTCATTAGCTTAGTCAGAGAAGAATAGTAGGGTGTTAAAAACTCCATTTATTTTCATTTTGGTTGTTGTCGATTTTCGTGTGTCAATAAATTTCCAGCTGCATTGATTGTCTCTCCAGCACTTTCAATGGTGTGTGTGTATATTGCATCTTCGTATTCCTAACAGTGATCAGTGATAGTTTGAAGATGGCCATGATTTAATTTTTTAAAATTTTTCAGGACAATTTCGTAGAGAAGAATTTTATACTAAACCGATGAAATTATTACGGAATTACGAACCTGCTAAAGAACATCTAGGTGAACCAATCCGATCCACACATATAGATCTTGGTAATACAACAGAAAATAATATAGATGGTTTAAATGCCAAGGTATAATATTAAAATAATATAGACGGTTTAAAATAATTTGTATTTTTCGGAAGATATAAAATTTTCTACTGCTTAATCCACTGTAACATTTAATCAAATTAATTATTTAACATTTTACTTGATCCAGTACCCATGCAGATATATCAGCCTGTCCAGCTTTAGTCACCTTGTCAAGGAAGTGTTGCCATCCCTCTTCTCAAATTCTATTTAAGATTTAATTAAAGATACATTATATTAAAGCTAAATCTGCCTATTGCAGGTCTTTCTTTAGGCCTAAAATGTTATCTAAATTATTAATTAGACATTAATTAATCTATCCAGACCATAATCAACTTTAGATGGCATCGCTAGCCTGCGATCTTTAGTGGATTGTGAGCCGATTTACTGCATAACTTTCCTTCATGATTTAACGATTAAATGGATAATCAAGACTATTCTGTTTATCGTACTGACTTTAGTAATGATGATCATGGCTAGCCGGAAATTTCAACCGCTTAGTTCTCGGTTCATAGTGGATCAATTTGAATGAAATTTTCAGCAAATTGCCTTTATATTATCTAGTTTTTAACTATTATAGTGAGAACTGCCAACTCGTTATCAAATCTCCCATAATGTATCTTTAATTAAAGGTACATTATGTAAGAGCTAAATCTGCCTTTTGTAGGTCTTTATATTGGCTTCATATATTACAGTCACATGACAAGCCTATAATCAACTCAGATGGCAGAGATTGAAACGGATTGAAACATGGTCATCATTTAATGATTTAATTTAAAAATGGTAAATCAAGGCTAATTGATCCCGTTGTTGGTCAAGAAAGTTCACTGGATTTTTCCAGCGTGGTTTCCCTTATCATGATAGGACAAAATACCAAGGTCCTATGTACACATTCGCCTGGACGTAAAAGAACTTGGTCAGTTGGAATTTGGCGACAAGTAGGCGGAAACAGCGCTGTCTAGACAAAATTTACTCCATAACACAGTGATTCTCAACCAGTGTGCCGTGGCACACAAGATCTTCCTTAGTGTGCCGCGGAATTCTGAACGACACTCTAAGAAAATGCGAAAAATCACATGATCCCAATTGAGTATTCACTGGTGTCTACTGATAAATTCATATCTGTGTTTCTATGACTAGTCTCTGTCTACGGTTGTATGCCGCCTGACTTGCCATATTTTTATTTTGCAAAATTCAAATATTTTTCATATATATTTAGCCAAGTGTGCCGCCATCTTTTCATGTGTTACAAGGTGTGGTTGAGAACCACTGCCATAACATATGCCCATCTTCAATAGCCCAGTTGGTGAAGATCAGTAGTATGTTGAAATTAAACCCTATTTCATTTCATTTAGTTATACAAAAGAGCGTAAATGGTAATGCTTAAATTGTTTAATGTGCAGACATTAGAATGTAGGGTATTTGTGTTTTTTCAGTTAACAATACCAATAAAGGGATCTAAAGATAAAGGTAAAATGTATGTTACAGCTAGCAGAAATGAAGCAGGTGAAAGGTTAGTCTTATTGTGTTTCCATAGTAACTTATTGTCCTGCAGATGGAGAATAGAATAGGGATATTGGGGGTAGGGAATTGAATCGGGTTAGTAGGGGTGGATAATAGAATAAGGCGTGTAGTTGTAGGGCTGATGATTTTCTGTGAAAACTGACATGCACCCCACAAAAGGAAATAAGTTTGAAAGACCATTTTTGGCAAAATTTACAACAATCTAATTAAAATATAGATCTATATTTCGTTTCGTTTTTTATACTTTCGATGGCCTACACTACATGTAAATCTAACAAGTTATAGTGGGAGTTCACGTTCTATGACGTCAGGTACCAAGCAAACGACATTTGATCCGATTACGTCAGTCATTCGATTTACCAATTAGCGACCGCCATGTATTTTTTATCTACTTTTTTATCTATTGCCGCTAATGTCTACCCACAGTTCCATGCAAAAAAGGTCAAACGCTTGATTCGACAGACCATTTGATTGGCTGACCCCTCATTTCAAGCAGAACACGAGTTAAATAACAACGCTTCCAGATCCAAGTGTAGTAAAGACAAGTAAAATCGAAATTTTGAACTATAAAAACGAAACGAAATTCGATCTGTGTTTTAATCAGATTGAATTTACAAGGTCATATTTGCTCAAAGAAAGACATAATTTAAAGGTCACCGGAAACGCTTCATAAATTTTTTGAATAATGCAAGTAATTATGTCAACATTTGAACATATCCTTTCCATAAGTATATAACACAAACCCGAATGTCAATATTACCTGCAACAGGTAAATTTCAACATTAGTAATATCCACCATTCTCCGTAGGTAGTCGTAACTTTCCGTCCTTTTGCTCATTTATATACATGTAGACTAGAATAGTGGTGCAGTTATTTGAATGATATAACCAGCGGCTGCCAGGCAGGATACGCCCACATTTTCGAGAGATGGATAGAAAACAAGCTAAAACGAAAGTGATTTTTCCTACAATCAATGGCCATAATTCAGGAAATTACAATTCGATATGCGCAAATATGGAAAGGAACCAAGATCTTTGAGTTATAAACTTACATTTCAAGTTTCAACAAAATCGGATAAAAATTGTGACCTCTATAGGGTCCACAACCTTGATATACCATATTTTTACGCAATTTGCGAACAAGGAACGGCCATTTTGTCTGTCAGTTTTGGGCCGATTTTCACAAAATTCGAACCCAGCCGTCCTTAGGGTGTAACGGTGATATACTAACACGTTTTTTTAAATCGGATAAATATTATGACCTCTATAAGGTCCACAAGCCAAAAAACGCGTTTTTGCGTACAATCAGGGGCCATAATTCATAAAGTGACGTTCCAATATGCGCGAATATCGAAAGGAACCGAGATTTTTGTGTTATTAACTTACATTTCAAGTTTCAACAAAATCGGATAAAAATTGTGACCTCTATAGGGTCTACAACCTTGATATACCGTATTTTTACGCTATTTGAGAACGAACGGCGGCGATTTTGTCTGTCAGTTTTGGGCCGATTTTCACGAAATTCGAACTCAACTGTCCTTAGGGTTTATTGGTGATAAAATAATACGTTTTTTTAAATCGGATAAAAATTATGACCTCTATAGGGTCCACAAGCCAAAAAATGTGTTTTTCGTACAATCAGGGGCCATAATCCATGAAGTTATGGTCCGATAGATGCCAATATCGAAAGGAACCGAGATCTTAGGGTGATAAACCTATATTTCAAGTTTCATTGAAATCGGATAAAAATTGTGACCTGTAGACTGTTCACAAACAATTGTGGACGGACGGATGTCCGGACGGACAGGGGCGACGACAATATACGTTCACATGAAAATGTGGGCGTATAAAAAACCAAGGTCCTGAAAGTTAGTAGACTGTAGCATCGCCTTCAATAGTCCAGTCAGTCCATAAAAGTAGGACAGTAAATCATATTTATTTCACGTAGGTTTTACGTCATGATTTGGCATACATGAGGTCGGGTGTTCGATCCCTGCAGTGGCCGAGAAAGTTCATACAGATTTTCTGGTGTGGTTTCCCCTTAGTGATGCAGGACGGAGGGCCTGACAAGGACGTTGGCGTGCACGTAAAAGATCCCATGGCAGTTGCAATTTGATGTAAGAGTAGGCCGTAGCGCTTCTGCCCGGGCAAAATTTCCCTCATAGCACACTGTATGGCGTATGCCCATCTTCATTAGCCCAGGTTAGGAGCAGAACAGTAGGATATTAAACTACATTTATTTCACGTTGGTTTTACATCATGATGCGAACGTACATGTAGCTTTTATAGACTTTCCTGACAAACAGGCACTAAATCAACTGATTGTTAATCGTATATTTCTGGGCTTAATCCAAGCAATTATTTAACATTTAATAACCTAAACATACAATATACAAGATCTAAATCTGCCTATTGCAGGTCTTTCTTTAGGCCTGAAATGTTATCTAAATTATTAATTACACATTAATTAACCTATCCAGACCATAATCAACTCTAGATGACATCGCTAGCCTGCAATGTTTATTCGATTAGGTTCCGATTTGTTGTTCAACTTCCATTCATGATTTAATCATGAAATTGATAATCGAGACTATGTTTTTTATCCTACCGACTTTAGTAATGATGATCATGGCTTGGCTGAAAATTCAATCGCTAAAATCTTGGTTCAGAGTGCATCAATTTGACTGAAATTTTCAGCAAATACCCTTTACATTATCTAGTTTTTAACTATTATAGTGAGAACTGTCAGCTCTTTATCTAATCTCCCATAATGTATCTTTAAGATGGATAAATGATCCCTTGGAATAGATTCAATCGGATTAAAAAGAGACCCATCATCAGATTTAACCAAATGCTTGTTTGTGGCACTGGTTTGTTTATATCGTGTGCAGTGGGTGCCAAATGTCCGGAAATTTTCAGTTTATCATATTTTTAGGTACTAAATGGAATTGAACCACTTTTTTCAAGATATTCTGTTGAGAGATACAACATTTACAATATCCTAGTTTTCAAAGAAATTCAAAATCTGTAATAAATTTCAGCGTCTTTAGTCCTGAAAATGGAGGTCCCCGACCATTCTTCTTGTCTAGAGGGGAGTTCCCTACCTGCTCAAGTACTACTCTCACATTAAAACTGTAATAAAATGAAATAAAATGGGGTTTAACACCCTACTCATCTGCTCCAACTGGGCATATGCCATACATTGAGAGAGAGAGATAATTCACTTGTGTGTAGGGGTTTTAGCCGTGGGAGGAAAGTGGAGGACCCGGAGAAAAACATATAGTGTGCTGTGAAGGAAATTTTTGCCAGACATATTGAATTCCAATTTTACATGCACGTCAGTGTGTACTAGGGACCTCAGTTTTTCATCCCATTGGAACGACTATACTTTGGCCTCCAGGTTAGCAAGCCAATGTCTTACTCACTGAGCCACTGTGGCTACACTGTCCTGTTAAAAACCAATAATTTGCGATTCACTTTTCTCTCTGTTTTTGTTTTTCAGTTGGATAATAAATCAACTTGATTTAGAAATCAAACGTACCAGAAGAAAATGGACATTTTATAAAACACCTGAGACGACAGATTCTTGATAGATATTTACCTATTAGAGACAGTAGACTAAGATTTATAAAATATTGTGCTGTGCTGGCATAAAGGAAATGATATAAAACTAGTGCTATCTCTAATTTACATTCAGCCATTAACTATAGCAAAGTTTCTTAACCTGTTATGGTCCTCATGCTAAATATTATTATCGGTATATCTTCAGATGTGCCATTTAGTTTTAAAAGATTGAATTTAGACATTAACTATAGCAAAGGCTCCTAACCTGTTACGTTCCTTGTGCTAAATATTATCGGTATATCTTCAGATGTGCCATAAACTCTGTTTACGTTAAAATTTTAAGTGTGCCATGCACAGTACCAGGTATGGTACGGTTCGTTTTTTTTTATAGTGTAAATGGGTCAAACATAAGCATGCTGTGCCTGGTACGGTGCCAATGTGGCCCACTGAAGTGAGGTGGTCTCGGAAGGTAGTGTAAATGCTAACTGGTCTGAGAACGGTTTCAGTACGGATTACTGTGCATGCGCCAAATGAACCTTCACTTTTTATCCCGCGAACCTTGACAGCTCTTTCATCAGTTCTGTCAAAGTGGCTGTCCAAACTAAATCAATCGCCATAACTGTTTTCATTCTGGTAATTTTCATAGGGACTGAAATTAACTTTTATGTGAAGAGTTCCACATTTCGCGTGCCTGGCACCGTTCTGAGACCGGTTATCTTAAACTAATGTAAACAGGTCAATTTCTTGTAATTTATTGGGACATGGTACCATGCCGAGAATAGCAAGCTTATCAAGGCCAAGTGTAAACAGGGCTATATAGTTTCAAAAGATTAAATTGAGGAGGAAATGTCAACAAAGATAGAAATATTATTTGTCATAATCTGTTTTGATTTTGTCCAGGTTATCAGAGAGTGTAAACTAAGGCTTGTAAAATATTGTGCCATGCTGGAAAATAGAAATAAGATATTGCTATAACTATTCACTGAAGGACAGTATATGTGAAGGGCACGAGTAGTCATATGAGGTCGTCCGCCTGCCTCTAAAGTAGAATACAGTGGGTTAAAGCCTTGTTTAAGAATTATCATAACCCCGCCTTCCAGGTCGTCTACATGGCAGTTAGTAAGATAATGCCAAATAGCGAGGGGCTGTGTCATTTGTCAGTAGTGTATCCCTCACAAGTAATAAAAAAAAAAATGTTTGTGTTTAGCCTATAGTACTCCTCATAGTGATAGCACTGTGGCTGTAATACTTACATCTATAGGCAAAACGGTAATTCAGAGGGAAGTATACTATTACACATTTCTGTTATGTGCAACTGCCACATAAATGTGCTGATGTGAGCTTTATAAACATATATTATAGAACAGAGAGAGAGAGAAATGGGGTTTAACGTCCACTCGACACAAACTAGGTCATTTCGGGACTAACATACGGTTTAATTTTAGTTACATAATTCGTTTGCGCGTAGGGGTCTTTAGCAGTGGGAGGAAATCGGAGGACCCGCAGAAAACCCACAAGGTTGGACAGATTATAGAACAGATTATTATATTTACTTAATATGTATATATATATATATATAAGAGAGAGAGAGAGAGTTTAACTTCCACTCGACACAAAATAGATCATTTCGGGATTAACATATGGTTCAATTTTATTTCAATAATTCGTTTGCGCACATAGGGGGATTTAGCTGTGGGAGGAAACCTGAGGACCTGGAGAAAACTCATGAGGTTGGACGGGTGACCCTACTCCTTGTCACGTACAAGCGGGGAATTGAAAACCATGCCCGTTGACTCAATGACAGACCTTATGATACAACGCGCACACGCAAACCATTCGGCCACCCAACCCTCCTATTTACATAATAAAATAAGATAACAAAAGAGCACACCTGATAAAATAAATAAATAAAAATTTAGATATATTGACATGTAGGTAATTAGAAATTAAAATAGCTCTGGATAATCTATCTACTGTTGTAGTAAAATAGCTCTGGATAATCTATCTACTGTTGTAGTAAAATAGCTCTGGATAATCTACCTACTGTTGTAGTAAAATAGCTCTGGATAATCTACCTACTGTTGTAGTAAAATATCTCTGGATAATCTATCTACTGTTGTAGTAAAATAGCTCTGGATAATCTACCTACTGTTGTAGTAAAATAGCTCTGGATAATCTACCTACTGTTGTAGTAAAATAGCTCTGGATAATCTACCTACTGTTGTAGTAAAATAGCTCTGGATAATCTACCTACTGTTGTAGTAAAATAGCTCTGGATAATCTATCTACTGTTGTAGTAAAATAGCTCTGGATAATCTACCTACTGTTGTAGTAAAATAGCTCTGGATAATCTACCTACTGTTGTAGTAAAATAGCTCTGGATAATCTACCTACTGTTGTAGTAAAATAGCTCTGGATAATCTACCTACTGTTGTAGTAAAATAGCTCTGGATAATCTACCTACTGTTGTAGTAAAATAGCTCTGGATAATCTACCTACTGTTGTAGTAAAATAGCTCTGGATAATCTACCTACTGTTGTAGTAAAAGGTTGACTGTGTAAAAAATGTCATTGAGTCAACTGGTGTGGTTTCAATTCCCCTCTTGTACATAACAAGGAGTAGGGACGGGCCTGTCCAACATCATGGGGTTTCTCCAGGTCCACCTATTTCCTCCTACTGCTAAAGACCCTGACACACCAGCAGGATCAACATTCAACAACCCTGTGTTTCCGTCGTTGTAAAAATCAGACCTAAATTAGAGCACTGTTAAAGATATATATACATTGTTTTGTTGTCATTTTATAAAGATATAAAAATAGTGTTGATTGTTAATAAAATTGTAGAACTTGTATTTTTTTTCTTGTTCCTTTGAAATTTTAGTATATTTTTAAAAAGGCCCCAATGATTAAAGATGCATTATGAAATGAAATGAAATGGAGTTTAACGTCCTACTGTTCTGCTCCTAACCTGGGCTAATGAAGACGGGCATACGCCATACAGTGTGCTATGAGGGAAATTTTGCCCGGACAACGGCACTACGGCCTACTCTTATATCGAATTCCAACTGCCAAGGGATCTTTTACGTGCACGCCAATGTGTACACAGGACCTCGGTTTTTCGTCCCATCCGAACGACTAGACAGCTTTCCTTGTCAGCCCCTCCGTCCTGCATCACTGACAAGGGAGAACCACGCCGGAAAATCTGGATGAACTTTCTCGGCCAATGCAGGGATCGAACACCCGACCTCCAGGCTAGCGAGCTAGCGTCTTACCCACTTAGCCACATGATTCCCAGATGCATTATGTATGATTTAATAGTTCAAAATTAATATATTGAAAATTTCGTTCAAATTACTTTATTCTGAGCAATGTTATCACTGTTTGAAGTTTTGACATAGATTATTTATTATCGTAGCAACCGAAACTCAGCCTCGCTTCTCCATTTTAAAATTAAATTATTAAATGACGATCGTATTTTAATCCGTTTACATCTGTTCCATCTGATGATCCAGAGTTCATTACAGACTTGTCATGTGAATATTTCTCAAGGTCGTTGAGATGTAAATAAGGTTAGGGCACTTGATTGTTGGTGAGATTGTAGGTTAGGTTTAGGTTAAGCATTTGGGCTAGGTCTAGGGTTAGGGTTTGGATTAGCACTAGCCCTGTTGGAATTTTGGCTACCGCTACTTTGAAATATTATTAATGTAATCATAATCTGCAATTTCACGTGCGATGGCTATTTATAGCCTCATGTACCGGAGTATTCTCGTCACAGAAGCCATTCTCCACTGCAAGGGAAGACTACTCTGTTTAGGAGAGTGCACAGAAGCGTGCACATGGCCACAGTTCACTAATGATTTCCCCATTAACTTTAATGTTAATTCTCGTCTCTTAGACCGGCTCTAACTTTTTCCCAAATTTTCGTTGGTAGAACCACAGATGGAGTATAAGTAGCCTACTAGATGTGTTAGTGTCCTACCTGTTGTGTAAATTATCCATTAAATCCTATTTTACTTGTCCAAAGGGTTCAAAAATATTTTTAAATCCAAGTCACTTTTGAAAAGCTTTACGTCATTCTTTTCAAATCATTTAGTTGAATTTTTCCAATTTTTTAAATAAGGTGTGTTAAGATGAAATTTGTATCATCAATTAATTGGAATATTGTAAAATAGTACAATTTGTTGACCAGAATAAAGATTGGGACATTATTCAGTTACAACAAGAGTGGTATTGAGCCTTTAATAATAGCCTACAAGTAGGCCTACAGGCTGCAACAAAGCTCAAAAGGACAAAAGTTCAGAAATTTGGCACTCTCATAAATGGGCCTATATAATGTTCACAGATGTCAAGGCCCTCTGTATATAGCCTATATATAAAGCTTAGAAAGTTCTGAATTTGGAATTCGATATAAGAGTAGGCCGTAGTGCCGCTGTCCGGGCAAAATTTTCCCTCATAGCACACTGTATGGCGTATGCCCGTCTTCATTAGCCCAGGTTAGGAGCAGAACAGTAGGCATTAAACCCCATTACATTTCATTTCATTTCATTTCTGAATTTGGCATTCTGCATAATACTAATACATATATAAAAGTCCTGGGACCCAGGATTTTCGCATCCAGACCCTGGCTGTTACGAATGTGGTCATATTTTCGCGCATAGCCTACTGCTGGTGCAAAATGCAAACATCCGCACAAAATGTATGCATGATATAGTTTGTCTCAAGAAACCTCTGGGATCTAGGGTCTGTACTCTGTTCCCAAATTTTGTTTCTTTACGCGTCCAGCGGCTGTTATAGTACATATAGGATCGATGTAACACTTTCTTAGTGATAACAGAGATCAGTTTAGTAAATATATATGATTTATTTACATCAGGTATATAAAACTGCTACAGTTACATACACACAACAACAATATGATAACTTAAACTATAAGGAACTAGACTACGACAGTAACACATACAACTATGTTAATTCCACCATTCTGCCCCTAAGCCAAGGCAGCGACTCAACTTGGGTAAGTCCATACGCCGGTCTCTCCGTCTCTCTCTGCTCTAACTAGTCGTCTTTAGTTGTCCTCTTATACTCTCGGATAATAGATAAGCTCATGGTCATACATGCAATTGTCTTTTTATCTCGTCATGGCATGCTTACTGACCAGTGCATATTCCTTTGAAGTAAAGCGGGGCATGTGCACAGATCCTTATGTAGTTTGTAAATGACATATGGGATTAATCTCATGTTTAATTAGATCATCGCCAGCCCGTGCTTATACAGTTTATACAGAGTTGAAAAGTCAATATCATATATTATCAAAAACCAGCTGAGGCAAGCACCTAAATGACTGTTCAATTTAATGAAAGTTATAGAGTAGGCCTACTTTGTTACATCGATCCATGGCACTGGCAAAAATTGTTGTTCCAATTATTAAAAGAGATCCTGTAATAATGAGAGTATGTGCAATATAAACAGTTAATGACATGCTATTACGTCATGCCTTTCTGTCGTCCCCATCTTATATATACTCAGCCAAATTAAAAACTTGACACTCAGGATTTTTGGGACTAGATTTTTAATATTTGGTTTAATAGTCAGGGCAAATAAAACCGAAATGTGGAGTGACCCCAAACAAATTGCAAAAGAAACTAATGAAGTTGGGTTCGATCATACATATATCAGACAGCATCATACCCAAATTCGGTCGAAATCGGCTGAGGCGAAATGCCGTAATTAACATAATTCAATACGGTCTTATCTTGACACGACAATGCCACTGTGACGTCATCAGCTTGCTCATGTCGACAATAAAAGAGGCGAAATTAAAGAGAATTTATCTACGGTAAAATTCAGAAATTAGTTTATTACAGTCAATCGACACCCAAAAGCGAGTCCAATTTCTATAAGTCCATCCAAACTGTCTCTTCCAGTTCATCTTCATCCAGTACGACAGGGCTTGTGGAATTCGCACATGTCTCTCCGTTGCAACTTGCACACACATTCGTACATTCTAGTCCATATCGACGACAGGAACATTTCTTTGTAGCGCACTCTCCCTTACATGTACAGCGAACTACTTTTAGTAGATGCGGCGGTGCTAACGGCGTGTCCATGCGGCGTGGCAATAGAGTTTCACCACGTAATTCCCAACCCCAGTCCGTTGGATTCAATCTATTATCGTGCCCCATCCAGCATCGTACTTGCAAAAATACGCGTAAGGAATGATATTTCGCGGAATCAGAAGTCGGGGGTAAGGCCCTCACTTCAACAACGCAAGTGCCTGTAACCGCTTTCTCCTTGAACTTTCGCAGTCTCAATGTGTTCAGACTCTCATTGGGTTTGCCGCCGTAGAGGCAGACCAAGGCTTTTTCGCCGGCTTCAACAATTTGACTCTAGCTTGAACATGTTTCAGCACAAAAAACACTCGCTTGTTCCCTTAACATTGCACTATTCATCTTTTTCAGTGGTGACCCCTTCCCGATGCTGAACAAAAGAGATGTGGTATCACATCCAGCAACTGCGTGGAGGAAGGGTAGCCTTGAACAAATATTTTCACCAAGGGTCTGGCATACATGACCAATGTCCCACAGTTTATGTTTCGCGTTTCTCTTTTCTGTTCGCAAGAACAAGCGTCCCGTTGGTGTGCCTAAGCGATTTGCGCGATAACACAGTATAACAAGCAAATCCGTGTCTTCTCCAATGACAACAGTAGGACCGGTAGCGCAGAAATCAACACCTGTCTGCGAAATCAGACAATCTGCATCTCCACTCGCCCCCCTTGTCCTTATTCCTTGTGATTCTAAATGTTTTTTCAGTAATATTATGAAATTGTTTTTGTTCGTCTCATTGCTAAGGAACCTCTCCTTCGTCGTCGTCAGTACTTTGGTTCCCAAGAAACCACTGATTTTGTATCCAACTATACCCCTAGCTCTCCTTTGATGAGCACTGTCTTTGGTCGAGGGTCCATTCCCGTATCCATCGAAGACAACAACTGGACCGACACTTTGTTTCACCAAGTCGACATATCGCTTACATATAGAATCGAACGACGCATCTTTTTCCCATTGGATTCGATGGAGAAGGGACCCGCCATCAAAGACGGTAAATGTCACTTCTTTGTTTGTTTCTTCAAAGCTTGAGCACATTTGTCCAATGGTATCCGCCAGCTGTGATTTTATTGCTTCCCTCATCATTCCGCAGTCGTTGAATAATGACGTCGGGTGAGGTGATAATTCATATTGCAGAAGGTGATCTATATCGTGTTCATCTGTGTGAGCATTCCCGACAGCAAGAAGTCGTTGGAATAATAGCTGCGGGTCGATGCTAACTTCTTCACCGCCAATGCGGACCGGTATATCTTGGCCGAGTTGCACAACAGTATCTTTTCTGGAAAACGAAAACTGGAACGCATCTTTACCGTACATTTTCTCGAAAATATTCTCCCCCACCTGCTTCGCTCTGTGCACGTTAACGGTGTGATCTGCTGTGAGACCACTAGTAATGCTACGCAGGTCCTTTGTTCACTCAAAGGGATTGTTCTCACACAAAAACTTGAAAATGTTCATTGTGTATTTGTTATCACGTTTCACTCTCGCGGAAGCGAACTCCTTATGTTGTTCAGTGGTAGAGAAACTGCGGTTGCACAGTTCTTGCATCGATTCATTGTATGTCGCGCACACTGGAAACGACAACAGCCATTTGGTTCGTTGTTTTTCGCTCATTACCCCTCGACCATGAACCAGTCCGCCAGTGACTTTCATTGCTCTCATGAGCATCTGTTCAATTACAAGATCTTTCGATAAACCAGCCCAATACCGGTCACTCCTGCGGATAACGAAAAGTCCAGCACTGTACATTT